AAAAACATCACAGCACGAGTTTGTAAATTGTTCCCTGATTTGACTTTAACTCATTTGACTTGATCTGGAAGTTAGTTTTCCCTTCCAAAAAAATCTGGCATCATTTTCCTGGGGGGGTAGATAAACAATACCTTCTGCTTTTAACGTTTGTAATTTTTACCGTCCAACACAAGTAGTAAACTTCTCTAGATCTATGAGCGAATTAATAGGGAACTAATTTTTGATAAAAAAAATAAATGCTCTAAATAAATGGATAAATTCACGCTGAAATTTTCGAGAACTTTGCAGAGGAATGCACGAAAATATTTCAAACATTCAATACACAATTGAATGAAAATGCACAAAAAGCCTACACTGGATGCTCGTAGAAACTTTATCATAGACTAAAGCAAAGGCAAAAAAGCCAAAAAACAAATAGGAATTTATAGTTTATTTACAGCCGAACAATTTTCGCAGTTTCTTGAGTGTTATTGTTGCATTAACCGATTCCAAATTAATGTCCTGTGCTTGTGCTACTCTTTCTTTTTTTCTTTTCTATATGAACATCTAATTGTGGTGCCGAGGCTGAACGTTCGAATTTTGTTTTTCGCGATTTGAGCCTGAAACGTTCTTAACATGTTCGTAAAGTTGAGCGGTAATTAAGCAAATGTCGATTTTATAGAATCCAGATTTTTAAATGCGCTAGAACGCGCGTGGAAATTGCTAAATTAACGAAAGCTATTGCATGAAAACAAGTCCGGTGACCCCTTAATTCTTTTTATTGTTCCAATATGATAATAACGTCGAAAGGAATCATCAGAAAAAAAAAACTAGAAAATTCTACGGATGGAAATTTGCGATGTCGGAAAATTGCCTTTTTTCTAGACTTTATGAAATTCCGCTCCGTATAATTTTTTAAAAAATCTTTGTGTTACGGGTTTTGCCGCCTTTTTTTGTCAGTGGGCCCTGGGACCCACTCGGTCAGTTTAATTTCCCAGGCCAGTTCGGTTCACAGCTCGTGTGTTGCGTTTTTTAGTTTCGGTAGGTTTCACCTTAATTTATCACCTCAGTTTGTCAGTTTATCATTCATCACAGCACCATCCATGTAAGTGTTCATCGTTCCGTTAATTTATTGTTTTTGCCTTGTCGTATTTTTTGTTTTCTGTTTTCGTTTCATCGTTTTCTGTATTTTATTTACATGTAGTTTCACCGTTCGACACTTAAGGAAAATAAACCATCGATTTGCATACTCTTCGTGATTCGGTTGAACACTACGCTAAGAAAATGTTAGTAAAAAATGTTACGGTAAAAAATGCTAAAAAATGCGTCTGAATAAGCCTATGAAAGCGTTGCCATGGAAACTGCTAGTGACGAAATGACACCCATTTTTGGATAACCAATGATAATATAATTCAACCCCGTAAAAGGGTTTAACTGGCCTTGGTCAGTCTTTCTGTTGTATTCTTTCAAAGTTACAAACCATCAAAAAGATGAAAACCGGTACGAGCCACCTTAAATATTTTGTTTTATTATACCATTAAACCTGAATGCAGAAGATAGCAATGAAGGCCATGCCGAGGTTATCGGAAAGCGAGCTTTAGAAAACGGACTTGTTATTCCAGTGATTATTCATTGCGAACAAGGAACAAGAACATATCTTCCGGTGTTAAATAGACAGCTCCAAGACATAAAGGAAAAAGTGAAGTATGTGAACGTTGTCATAGAGAAAACTGCAGAAAATCGGTGCTTTTGTAATCCTTCAGTGGTCACGCAACGATTAAATAAAAGCTTATTTATTACCCAAGATGCCAATTTTTAACTTGAGAGGGATGGGGTAAGAGAAAGAGAAAATGGCGAGGGGAGGGGGAGGAGGTGATTATTCGAGGGAGGCGATTAATAGAGGGACGGCTATTATTCGAGGAAATACGGTATATTGTACCACATTTTGAAGTCATATATAGTCTATTGCTGGACAGATGCACAGCAACATGGAATCCCTTTGTTTTAGATGATAGAAAAGGCAAAATGCTGCGTCTTTCATTCGACAGACCATAGAAAAGAACCAATCAGAATGTGTGTACAATTCAATCGTATAAATAATACCATACATCAAAAGGTAAGGGAAATACGAAATACATCTATATAGAAATTAATCTGCAATCAAAACTCTGTTCTTCAACCGAAAACAGCATTCGCACAAATTTGGAAATACAAGAGATATGAGAGAGATTTATGACCCCATATTTCGTTCTGTTACTTCAACTGATTTATAAATTGCGAAATCAATAGATTACCTATGAGATTAATGTTTTGTCCTTAAAGAGTATGGGGTAATGAGGTAGTCTTTCCCAAAACATTTCAAAATGACCCGTGTTTTGGACGGCTTATCTAGAAAAAAAAAGTTTTGCAATTCATTACAATGGTTTAAAAAATACCTACTTTTAAGATCTTTGTATACATATTTAAAAACACCTCTCCTACCTTGTAAAAATTAAGCTGTTCAAAAGAGGCACGCTGTCACCTGCACCTGTCCCCGCCCCATTTACATTGGCCACACCCCCATTTCCACACCCCCATTTCCACACCCCCATTTCCCAAACTTCCACATAAGCTTTAACTAACATTAAGGTAATATTTACGCTAGGAACCTGTTATTGCATATTTTGGAAAGATTTTCTGTTTAACCTTTTACCATTCTAAAGCAAGATGTTGTCCTAAAGATAGTCTATTGTTTACGTCATTACTTTTTCTTATCCTGGTGCTGTTTACATAATAAAGAGTGGGTCTTTCCGAAATGTTGTCCCCCGCTCCGACAGAATCCGTTTTAATTTGGAAAATTGGTCAATATGAACAATGCGGGCAATATTACAAAGTCGGTGGGGCTATCACATAGCGGATTCGTTCTGACGAGGCGCTGAATCTCAAAACGCCAGCTTTAGACACTCTTTACGATGGACAATATATCTTCAGCTCAATAAGTAAAACCAAATTATTTGTATTCACTTCAGTTTGAAATTTTCTAGTCGAAGTTGCATTTAAAAATGGGACGCCTTAAGCGTGTGAGCTAATGTCCAGAGCCCAGACATAAGGGACAATTCACCCCTCATACTTGAAAAGGCAGACATACAATTCTTGTTGTTTCGAGCACATGCTTGGGCAAGATTTCCATATAACCTCACACGTTAATCATGCATAGAGTGTTGCAAAGAAACCTTCATATTTAGTCTTTAGGAAGTGGAATGTATAATGAATGTATAGGATTATGTGGAAATCTTTCCCATATTTGAACTCAATTCTTTCCTAAACAAAAAGGTTGATTTATTCCAGAATCGACATCATGCATTCGTTATTTCAGCGAATTTCACAAACTAAGTAATCTTCACGCTTAACTATTCACCAGAGCTTCAAATTCAAAGTTACACATTATGAGGAATGTAAGAAAGTATAATCCGGCGAAACAAGGCACATCGATAACTTAACAAGCAGGGTTTACACTATAATTGTACCTACGGAAGTAGTCTTCCATGAGGTCAACGAGCTTGGAAGGACCTTTAATTAACCGCGTGCGACGTTCGAGTTTGCCTTCATCTTCAATTTACGTCGAGTCGCTCTTCAAATAATTAAGCCCTTAACAACTTGGCTAGCGTCGAAACTATGAGACCTCATGTTACCACTTGTCCCAGTAAGCGCGGTATTAACTTGACGTATAGACCAGTTTCTGTTGCTTCTTTAGCAAGACTTACACGTACATGGAACAAGAAGCAGCGAAGGGGCTCTGTCCTGGTGTACCGGTTCACAAGGGAATTACCATTGTTCTTTCTTTGTTTAGGAGTCATTGGTTAGCTGTTGTGTATTGTTCGGTCTTTTGTAACGGCTCTTGTGAACCGGTACACGAGGACAGAACCAGCGAAGGTGAAGAGAAACTGAATAGTGATTGGCGTCATCACGTGCTTGAGAAAAAAATTATTAGCAATTTAGATTTAAAATTTGCATGAAATGATGGAGTAGGGTTTGGTTCAGGTAGGGGGAAACTGAGGCTTGCTTTGCGAGATAGAGGGGTACAAGAAACACTTTTTTAGGAAAACAAATTTTGGTAAACCGGGGCTTGTATTTTGCTATTAATAATTGCTTAATACTTTTTGCAATTTTAAAGGGGACAGGTGAGAGGTGGGGGGGGGTGAGGTGAGTGGGGGAACAGGTGAGAGGGGGGTGAGGTGAGAGAGTCAGGTTTCTAGGGTCAGGGGGAACCTGTTGCACTATTTTCAAATCGCACATCTCCCTCCAGATCTCATCATGTTGTCTTTTAAGTATTTCAATTTCAACAGATTATGCTGATAAAGATGGTGAGTTATCTAAAATAATCAGATTTTGAGTGTTTAATTAAGCGTTGAAAATGATTCTCAATGGATGCAACAGACTGATTTAAAGGCATGGTCATGTGTTCTCTAGCCTAAATGTGAACAGAGCGTCAAAGTACCAAAAACAAAAAATTGAAAAAAACAAACAAACACAAAAACTACGCAACCGAAGATGGACTAAAAATTTTATTTCTAAAAAACCATTTTTCTACTCAGTTCATTATTTCATCGTTTTTCCAACCAGTTGCAGTAGTGTCTAAAGATGCCATTCACACCCTTCCTCTCCCTGCACAAATGGCAGCTTTACCGGGGGAAATAATTCTTCGCCATAGTTTCATGAGGTGATTGCCGCAGGGTAACGTCAAAAAATGCTGAATTCCAAACAGAATGCTCATCAGAAATATTTTCCTAACCTTAAACGATTTGGTACGTGATTCATTTTTACAAAGTGGCAAATTTGACTTGATGAGTGGATTGACAGAAATGCGACCTCCTAAATCCCTGCCCAAGCATTACTGCATAGGGCAGGGGGCGCGGGAGAGTAAGGCTACAGATAATTTTGGTGGGCTAAAAATTATGAATTCAAGAGAAAAGGCGTCAGTTCTTAGTTAAACAGTATCCGACCCAGTCTTTATCTCCTTATTCTCCCGCCCCAGTTTCTCTCTCGATTTAGGGGACAAGTAGAATAAAGACACTGAGAACAAAGTCCGACTATTTAGTGCTGTTTTAAAACAATAACAAGTCAGGCTTCTCATTAAATTTTTTTCTTAGGATTTTTGTACGAGACCATAGTCTCTCGCGAGTTTCCAAGGATATTTATCCAATTGTTTGCGATCCATTTTTCTCCTTTAATGATATCACACCCTCCATGGTAAGTCATCTCGTCCAGTCTCCCGTGCCATCCAGTTTTTTCATCCCGTAAGTGATTATACCACATGATGGCTGTTCCTTTTCGAGGTTTTACGAATAAGTTGGCTTTGTGACAATGCTTGCTCAGGTCGCAGCGGTATTTGGTGATCTTCGCCCACGCCTGGACTCAAAGGAAACAAAATACCCAAATAAGATCGATGCGTTTCATCTCCGCGCTAACGACATCAGTGGCGGATCTTGGGGAGGGGCCCTGGGGGCTAGGCCTTTAGAAATTATGCAAGTAAAAGTAGCATATTATGCTAGTAGCATTGCTTTTTATGGCGAAATTATGCTAAAATTATGCTAAAATTATGGTTTTTTTTTCCAAATTATGCCCCTTTTTTTAAAATTATGCTCTTTGAAAAAATTGCAAATAAGTCCAAAAAATACATTTTTTAATTAGAAGCCGTTGGTCTACCAGAAAGAACGCAACAAATCGACAATGAAATTCAAATAAACATGTGGTTCATGCACACTAGTACTAGACTATACATGGCGTACAATGTGTGTTCCGGTTTCGGTGCACCCAGACCTGGGCTCAGACCCGGGCTCAGACCGTTTCAGACGCCGCTCAGTGATTCACAATGAACTACAAATGCTACAACTTGAACTAAAACTTAAAACATCGAATAACGTCACCAAGTGCTTGGGAGTAGAGATGAACAATGATCAAATTGTAGCATCAGAAATGATCCGATAATTATCAAAAGATGCGAATTATGCTAGCATGGCTACTTGGCAGAAATTATGCCAGTTTGCTCAAATTATGCGAAAAATTATGCTAGCATAATCTATACAGGCTTACAGAGGGCCCGCCCCCCTACGTTGGGGAAAAAATCGCAGAAGGAAGAAAAGCCGACAGGTGTACACACACAAATACACCCCCCCCCCCTCTCCCCCTTAGCGAATAATGCTGAGTTGAAGCGTAACGATTCACCCTATCACTCCTAGGAGTGCTCAAAAATGAATTTCTCCTTACAATGTCACAAAATATGTAAGCACCTGGTGATGAGAAGAGAGGAGGGTATCAATTAGAGAACGCTCTTTCAAAAGGCAGCAAAGTCTTAGAATACGACTGAGAGAGACTGGGAGACAACAGCGTGCAGAGAATTGATGTTCAGATCTTGTGGGGGAACGATTGAGGCAACGGCAAACGCCACTGAAAAATGAACACTCGTTTTGCTCACTTTTCCTTTAAATCTTAAATCCAAAATGACAAAAGATCGAAACTGAAAAAAAAAAAGCACCTTGTTTACAGTAAATTCGAGTATTTTCATCAACGTAAACAAACGGTTAAATGCAGACGTCAGGTGATTCAATTATTTGCTGTTTGTTCTAAATGAATATCAAGTTGGCAAGCGATCAAAATAAATAATATTATCAGATAAAACAATAATCAGATACCACATTTTCAAAACTAGCATACAAAATAATGCATAGTTGTGTGCAGTGAGGGTTAAGAGTTCGATTGCCTGGGAAATTTTTCACTGTAAAAGCAACACCTTACAGCACATTACTTTAAATAAAAGCCGTTGTTATTGTTTGCTTGTTTGTTGATTACTTATTTGTTACCTCGGTGCTAAATGTTGCATTATCTGCAACTGGAAATGCAGTCTCGCCTCCTTCTTCCACATCGTTTAAAAAGTACAATACTGTAATGTACCTGCAAGAAAATGATCAAGGGTCTTCAAAATTTACTTCATGCTTATCCCATAGCCTTCATTTCAGTTAATCTGCGAATATCAATTCGCCAGTTGTCTCCAGAGATTAGACTCCTCCTACCACGTCACGTCAGGCAATGCGCTCTTTCTCCAACGAGTGCTTCAAGTGATATGACCAAACAAGGGGAGATCACTATGCCCGCGTGGTCGATGACATTTCTGCCACTTGCTTAACCGATGGAGTTTAAAACAAAATTGAGCTATCGCAACTCCGTCCCCCTCCACACTTCCCACATTTGAGTTTGCTTACACATTCTCTCTCTTTGAGTTTACCATCAGCTCTCCTCGAGCTCGGTGCCATACTTGACCGAACATCAGCTGCGGGAAGGGCTACCCCTGGTAAAAAAATGATTTCTTAGCCTGCGGGTAGGCTCTCTTTAGGGTAGACCTTGCGCCGGTAAAAAACGAAGGCCGGCTCGGCTCTAGCCTCCGAGCAGACCCGCATAATTAGCACGGCAGGAAGCGTCTCTCTCCACCCGCGGGAAGTTTGGAGACGAGTTGGGAGAGATGGGAGAGATTTTCTGAGACTCTTCCGGTACGCGTTGCTCAAGGCATCCTACTTTCTCGCGGACAAATATACGCTCCTGCCTAAGAACTATTGTAACACAACCAAGAAGCTAGAGTCGCTCTCGGCTATCACCTCGCGCGACTCTTACGTTTCTTTCGTGCTTAGCAACCTCCCGCGTGCTTCCATAACTTAACTGTGTACGCTGTGGTGTTTACCATTTGTTAAATAGTAAGGGCCTTCTGGCAGGCTATCTCGACTCTGGAAACCTCATGATAAACCAGCGAAAGGTTTGTGCAGCAGCACTAATGAAAACCTTCTCGCAAGCTAATTAATTTTTTATACTTCACACAAGATTACCGGCAAAGACGACAGTGACGTCTGTCACGGAAAGCACAACAGGGAACGTTCGGTTCAATATCTTGGGAGTCATGGTGACAGTGATAGTGGCCCTCGGGATGGTAATGGACAACCTAAGGGTGGATGGAAGAAAAAAAGAAAGAAGGAATGAGGGAATAACAGCTTGGAGTGATTCATTACTCGGGGAGGGTCACGAAAAGTTATTAGAGGAATTGAGCACCGCGTTTACGTTAAACGTGAACGGCAAGAGTGACCATGTGACCCTGTTTTTCCCGCCATTTTTCACAATTGCGCTTTGCCGTTTCTACGCGAAAGTAGCCTGTTTCGCCATGTACGTAAGATTTTCTTCACTTTTCCTTTTACAGAGTAGACGTTAATTGCCGGAGAAAGGGTACCAATACTATTCCTTGTAAGTCATACAAGGGTGCCTTTAAATCCACCATTGCTTGAGCTCACGCAGCAAGGTTTACGCTTTTTTTACGTGAAACGTGATAGGGTAAGGCGACGTTTGCCGTTTTACGTAAAAGCGGTGCAAAATATCTCTAGTATCACCACACGACGTAAAAATAAATTAATGGTAATTCGGTAAAAAAAAAAAACTGAATTCTTACCTGAAGTTCCTCACTTTCTTCTATGGCTGCTCTGGGAAGCTTTGTTAGAGACGCCACTCTGAAAGCCAAAAATGAATTTTTTTTTTCAATGAAGACAGTTTAAAAAAGATATTTAGACGTCTTCAGCAAGTTTGTTTAAAGAGATGTTTTTTCAATTCAGGTATTTGTTACCAGTGTCTGAGTAACCTTATTTTCGTGGCCTATTTAGTGGACCGCAAATTATTCAAGACACTCCTGATGAAAAGTGTTCATAAATTGCATTGAAACCAAGTCTCACGACCATCCAGTTACCTCTTGAAAAACGACGGAGGTGATCAACTTGTAACGTCCTCAAACAAAACCAATATATCAGGAAACAAACGGTTCGGAAAAAGTCTGCAAAAGGTTATTCACTCCTAGTCTCGTGCCCAGACCTTCCACGGCCAACCGGTAGGATCTGGGTGCCAAATTAATTCAATCCCTAATCCCGTTTATTTACCTGTCATTGAGTCCTTTGATCTTTCGATGATCTAGCCATGTTTGCTGACTATTCCGGCTTTTGACTCGAGGGAGTCCTTTCGCCATGTTATGGAGACTTTTCATGATCTTGTTTGTTGTCACAGCAAGAAACTCTTTTAAATCCATAACACCTTAAAAAAGAACCGTAAAAAAAAATAATAAATCGTCGACTGATGGGAGAGATCGTGCAATGTGAGCAACTGACCCCTATTTCGCAACATCGAAATTGTCCCATTGAAAGTTTACATTGCATGATAAAATTAATCCTTCGGTTTCTCAATACTAAAGTCAAATGTTAATTGCTACGAAAAATAACCAACCATTTTTATTCTTGCGCGCGTTGGATATGAGATGATAGATAGCCAACGAGGCGCGTAGCGCCGAGTTGGCTATAATCATCTCATATCCAACAAACGCGAGTGGAATAACTGTTTTATTAAAATAAAACGCCCCCAAGATATTAGACAAATCTTCTCGACTTTACTTTGTAAGAAGGAGCCGGATGTTACAATGTCCAGATATTAGATTATGGTATATTGGCTCATATACCATAATGGCTAAGCCAATAAAAAGTCTTGAATTGCATTATCCAATGACCCAGTTTTTAATGATAATAATTACAGCCTTGCGGTAACCCTTTAATTCCCAGAAGTGATTAACATGTAACTTCTCCCTAGACAAAGTTTAGCCTTTATTTAACAAAACCGTTTTCTGCACCATCTTGAACTTAGCTGAACCTTCTATCTGAACTTTTATTATTGTAAACACTGTCAAGAGGAAAACAACCCTCTATAGAGGATACGTAAGTCCCACAGCTTGCGTTAATTTGCGATTTGGGTTAGACCCCGTGTAAATATCCGGCCCTTTGTGTTGTGAATAGGGCGAAGGAAAATAAAGAGGGAATAACAATAACGTCGCACTCTGTTGGGTCACTCACATTTTTGCAATGTCTTCTTCCGAGAAGTATAAATCACTGAGATCAACAAGATTATGCATTACCTATAAAAAGGAATTAAAAGAGTAAGGATTATGCTATCCAGAGGTTACATTTGATTGCCCTATTTTATCTCTTGTTTTGCAAATTCCCGTTATTATCAACGAATTGCAAGAAAGTTGTTTTAAGTGAATACTAGCACCCTTAACAAAACAATACTTTCCAGGTTGGAAAGGGGGTCATACCACGCGTGTCACACCCTCATTACCTAGAGATGAATTGCTTGACACTTGCTTTAGTGGGAGAAGAGTTGAAATTAAAGAACATTGAGTGACACTGACACCGGTGGGAAATCGAGATTATATCTGTCACAAAATGCCAATAAATTTAAGATAGCACTGTCAACGACCTCGTACCTCCACTTTGTCAATGACACCGTCGTTGTTGTAGTCCCAACTGTGAAATGTCGCCTCATTGGTTGGCTCTATGTTGATACCCGTTTCAGGGTCCTGGACCTCACTGGTGTCCAGGCCCTCTCTGGAGGCGAGGCTTACCATAGTTTGGCATTCGTCGTTAGACAGAAAATCGGGAATTTCTGACATAAAATAGAGATCAAGACATGAAATCTTTGTCAATGAATACTGCGTTTACAATAAATAAATGAACGACTAAGAAGAAAGACAAATGTGACATTTCTTACCGAAGATAGGCGGTCTTAAGCTAAGTGTTTTTATCACATACATCTTCCCCGGGCTTAGTTGTCTTTTTTGCACATGGCCAACCTGAAGGGTGAACACAATTTGTTCGTAAAATATACGACTATCTGAGGCTAATTCAGGGGGGTGTCATGGTAGAATCTTGGAACAGGGATAAAAATTTCCACCATCTAGTTAAACAGAGACAGTAAAATACCATATAAGGATTGCGTTACGTGACTCTCACGTTTCAACAGGATTGGCATTCTGTCTGCTTCAGTGCGATATAATGTTCATCTTGATGAAGATCAAATGATAACTATACAACTTAATCAGAAACGGAAAAAAAAAACTCCTTTACTGAATGGCTAAAAACGAAAAATATGAAATAAAAATGAACGGCAGACAAACATGATTCTACGAATAAACAGGAGTAAACGGCTTTTACGGATATCATGGTGTCTTTGTGGCAAAAAAACGCAATTTAGCAACAAGTTAAGATCTTAAATTACTTGTAAGTGGGCATAAAAAGTGCCCACCAATATTCGTCAGAGTGCGAATCAAGTAGCAACAAGTACAAATAGCTGTTAACTAAATATTGAATTAAATAAATACAATATGAACGACACGTCACTATTTTGGATAGGTTCACGAACTGAAATTTAATCATGGAATTATTCCTGAATTTCATGTTCCTACCTTCACACCATTTAATCGAGGCAAAACTTTAAAGTCGGTATTCGCATCAGTTCGTTTGGAAGTCGAAGCCCTCACGGATTCTTTACTTCTTTCCTCCATCGCTTGGCGTAAATTCGATTCGATCCCATATCCATTCTTGTAATACACAGCTACACATATCGCTGCTAGAGCGGTTATAGCTACGGCCACTGCTGTAGAAGGAAGTGACGATTTCGAAGGCTTCTTTGTTGCCTTTTGTTTTGATTTTTCCTTCGAAAATTTCTTGTTATCTGCACGTGGCGGCGCCATAGTTGATCTTTAAATGGCTTCTTTCGTGTCGACTTGTTGATTTCACGGCAATGAACACCACATTTGCATATCATTTGTAAACATAATATAACAAAGTCCCTCGCTGAGATGTCTGATAACGAACGTGACATCCATGAGTTTTACTTCACTACGAATAAACAAGTTACAAAAGCTTGCTTAATCCATTACGTTTCCTTGAAAATTTTTGAAGATTTAACCCCCAAGTGAACGCTGGCCGGTGTACGGCCTCGATTGAGAAAATTAGTATTGCGTGACAGGCAGATGTCACGCACACTATTTCTCTTCCTCCTCCAGTTTGTTGCTGTCCACCAGACAAACAGGATCCTCGCAATTTCCCAAAAATTTCAACCTACGGCAGTACATGTCACAGTAAACAGAAATAAACACAGCAAAAGCGCTAAAATATCTCTCTTATTCAGCTTTTAATATAATTTTACTATGAAACTAACGATAGCGACTTAGTAAAGTAATTGATACTCGTAAAATTATGCGGATGTAATTAGCGTCCAGTTATTATATTGACCACTTTCAAAAATGGCTGCCGGATTAATATTCTTTTGTTTAAATTGAAATTAGCCTTTCTGGCCTCGCTTGAGATAATGTATTCTTTTGAATTTTGTACTAGAGAACGAGGCCAGAAAGGCTAACTTAAATTTAAACAAAAGAATATTAATCCGGCAGCCATTTATGAAAGTGGTCTATTCATCTTTCATAATAGAATTAGTCACCAAACTGATTAAAATCATTTGTTCCTTTTTTTTCAATCAGTGCTAGCTGAGTCATGGCAACCATTCGCCATATATCAAGTATTCAAGACAATTGCTGTCGAAATACTGGAACACTGGTGTTCGTCTTTGAGCCAGGGTTTGGGCTTGCTGCAGGCTTTCATGATCCTACGAAATTGTGTCTAGCATTCTTGCATTTAAGCAACCCATATTCCTATTATGAGTTTGTTGAAATCGTTCCTCGTGAAATTTCTCTTGTTCAGCGACGCATTTTAATATATGCTCCAAAAAAAAAAAAACCTATACCCTGCATGAGTGACTTTAAAAGGATCTATGTTCACTTTTTGGATTGTTTATTATGCAAAACTATAGACTGGTATTTCAAGAATATTATGTACAATCTGCCTTTATCATCCTTGATAATCCCGCTCTTTTTTCTTGCTCTTGTCCCTGGAACCAGGGGAAGATGTATCTATTAAAGGTTTTTAAGTACAAAGTTAGTACAGCGGAAAATAAAAGCAAATTATTAGAATGCTCAACATCTTACGAAATACCTGCACAATTTTCCATTAAAAAGGTTTGCTCCCGTTTCATTTTTTTTAAGATCTTCCTTTTGTTATTTTCACGGTCCCTTCTGGTACCTGCCCAGCTCATTCAAACTGACCAATCACAGACGCTGGTGGCATCATGTGCTTTCACATGGCAGCTTCAGAGTAAAACAATTCATTCTCCATGAATGAAAAGTCCCTTAGCCGTAATATATTGGATCATTAATTTATGAAGAATTTTCTGACCGAGGTTCCCGGCCCTGACGGGAGTATAACAAAACAAGATCGATGCGACTAATGGCGGATAGAAAATCCTTTAGCTTTGTCTGGTTTTTAGGTTTGGTTCTGATCATTGCGAGGGGCTTACAAATCAAAGCAAAGGATATTTCAATTCACCAACACACGTGCAATAGCGACGAAAACGAGGAGGGCTTCTGTGAAACGATAGATGAAAAAAAGTATGTTCAGAGCGACGAAATTATGGACTTTAAGGAGGAAATGCTTAGCACACAAAAGACAGATCAAGTAGAGAGTTTTTCACAAGATTTGAAAGAGGGTCAACAAAATAATGACAGTCCTAACAATTTATTGGAAAGCAACGATAAACAAGTGTCATATCATGGTAACTCATCAAGCAAGGAGTGGATTGGACTTCAGATTCCAGTTGTTGATGGAGTTAAGGCAAGTTTAATTCTACTTAGATCTAGCTTGAAAATATTTTATTAGATGCAAACGCTGCTTTCAGAGTCCCCTTTGATTGAGAAATTATTTTCTGTTAATCCCCGACCTTCCAAGTAAAAGCTTGCAAGTCAAAGATCAGAACCAAGAGATGATAAGGCCGAGAGACTGGACCCCACATGCTGGTCTTATAACTAAAGAAATCCTACTTCAGTTTTCTTTGGGTAAATCTCGTTTCCAAAGATACAAGGAGGGACTCGATTAACCAATCCCGTCTCGCAAACATAGCTCAAGAAAATTTCCCAAGTTGCATCAAAATGCTTTCTACCGAAAGAAACTAGTAACATGCAAGATCGCCTGATTTATTTCCGAGAGAACATGCAGATATCTTGAGTTTAGAATGGATAACTTCACAGTGTTTACCTTTGGAACAAGGCTCTTTTGTCTGACCCAATCCCCCTATTCCTTGAGTCTAGTCGCGACTCTGCTAGACCTCAAAGAATAATGCTCATAAAGAAAAGCTGATATGTACTCTTGAGCGGGAAGACTCAGGCAGGAGGAATGCAGAGGAAGCCGATGAAATAACATTGTTCTACCCATTGCAACCGTACAAAACCGCCATTATGCGCTTTTTGTTGAATCTTGTCTTACCTAAGCGTAAAAACGTTAAAGGTTCAAAGCAAATGTAAACATCACAATAATTATACCATTAATACACATTGGATAGGTTGGTCACGTTCAGGAGATTGAAATTTTACCTGGCATCAAACGTCTAATGAAGACCTTGAGCATGCGCCCTCTTGTGTTTGGTAAGAGATCAGTCCTATGAGAGAATAAGGATAAATGTAGGTATCTGATCAACTGCACAGCTATCCCTCCCTTCCCACATTAACCCTGACTTGTTATCAGTTCACTGTTGTTGTGTTTGTGGAGGGGAGGGGTAGGTGCGCAGTTGCTCAGATACCGACATCGATCTGATTATCAGCAACAGAAACACTTGCGTCATAACTGCCGAGTACACACGACACTTGCCAGATATGAACATGATAAATGGCTCTATTTGTCAACGGGTAACTGGTGGTTTCGCCCCGTAGCAAGTTCGCCTCGCTCTCTTGTTTTAACACTTGAGTCAACCTCGTTCCAGTGGCCTTTTCCTTTGCTTAGGGCCTCACGCCCAAGTAAGGGAAAAGGCCATGGAAACGAGGTTGTACGTGAGTCTCCTATACATATATAATTCACAAGGAAATGTGTAGAGTTCAGTGGGGGTGAGTCACCCATTGAATCCTGGGAGTTATGAGATTTGCATTTGTCGTGGAGAGTGATAATAGTGAGAGCAATGAATGGTAAAATGCCTTACAACGTAGTTTTTTTGCCTTTAACCGCTGAAGAAAAAAAACCGTCACTTTAGTCTTTGGACTAGAGTAGGACCACGCAAATTTGCCACTAATAATGTGTTGTGTATTAGGGTTCGATATGTTAGAGTAACTATAGAGTACTACGTGTATCAGAAATAGTGTTCTACCCAACTGCTTTTATTAGAATACGATGAACTTAATTATATACAATGATATATAAGGATAATCACGTGCCTGCGGCCGAGGGTGTGCTAACCAATGAAATAAAGATTATTTTATAGCTGAGGTATTTGTCCAAATAGGAACAAACACTACATAATGGAATAAGAAAAAAAATAATTGGAATGAGACATTGGGATCTAGAAAATGAAAAAGTAAAAGAAAGGGATCTGCATTCTCACCTTCTCCCATTCTTCAGGACTCTCAGATCTGATTATTATAGTTCGCAAACTGGCACTTCACACTATTAAGTCAATCAGTTCAAGAGAATTTCATGCTCTTTCAAAATAATACCACCTAGTTGATAAGTTTGTGTATTGTCATCAAATATTTGCTGGATGATGCATTGCTACATTCACTTCTGGTAGTCAGTAAGAGGATTTCTCTACACAGCATGTGCAAGCTAGGGTCAAGTGAAGCCATGATAGAAGGTGCAATTGCTGCCACACTCGTAGAATTTGCTCATTCAACGTTTGCTTTTCTTGATTTTGTTTCGCCGCTTTAATAGAGATTCCCGATTTTCTCGACGAGGACGAATGTGAACTCATCATAGCCCTAGCTGAAAACAAAAAACTCAGTGATAATCCTAAGAGAACAGACAACCGAGGTGTTTACTATGAAGATCCTCTGAACACCTTCAAACGGTGGGACTTGAATGGAGATGAATACATTGACGCAGAGGAGGTTTGTAAAATTATTTCTCTTTAATAGTTCTTCCTGGGACACATCCTAGAGCAAAACAAACAAATAAACAAACACACCTTGTGAATGATACCGTGAACTATGACATGGCCGAAGTCACTGTCACACAATCACTTCATCTAATTAACAGTCCTGTTCGAGACTGCCCCAACCATGAGCATTGATTAACAGATCGCATTCTATGTTGCTGTCGGCTGTTTTTTTGAAAGATCACTGTTGATGTCAGATATGGTAATAAGGAAAAAGTGGCACACGAGGCGCAGCTTAGTGCGTCACTTATGTTCTTGCCACACTTTGACATCATTTGTTACCACGGAAACATGGAATCTATTTGATTTATATAATAAAAAGACTAGATACTATCAATGATGACGTCATCTTGCGTCTGTCCTCAAATAGGTCATAAGTAAGAACCAATAAAAATCCGTGTTAAAATAGGTCATAAGTAAGAACCAATCAAAACGCGTGTATAATTCAGCTCATAATAAAAACAATATTGTTAGCCTAGAAAAAATCTACTCCTACAATTTTTGTCAGTAGTCGCCCTATACGGAATCAAGGAGGACACTCGAACAAAGAAATGTTCTCATTAGGCCATTTTACAGTTGTGCGCTAATTTTCCAAGCTTTTGATTTGGAGTGAGGCTGAAGGTGACCTTGTTGTGATAGAGACCAGTATCTAGTCAGCATGATAATAAAGTAATTTACATTTGAAAAGCACCCACGTTTGCATCATAAAAACGTCACCCTCACTCCAATTCAAACTGTAAAATGGACTATTCCTTACTTTATACTTAACTTAAGTTAAAAGATAAGCATTGTATATCATCATTTTTTTTCATGAACCCTTCAAACAGATCATCCTGATCCCTGGTAAAATGGATCTTAAATTTACCAAACATAACGCTTCTGAGATGTAAGTGTGCTTTCTTTACCGACACATGTTTTGAAAACTAGGAGAAATTTCTTTTCTTAAAAGTTGCTTTTTAATTAATTAATTCTATTTTCAATAGGATGAAAACTCTAAAAATGGATAAAGATGATAATGGTAAGTATTCACGCACGATAAACAAGCCCGGCGATGTTCATTAAAGGTTACTGAATATAATTTATAATGATTTCGGAAAAAAAAAACTCTAAAGCGTGTTCCCTCTATGGGATCCCCCAAAATCTTCCAAGCCCTCCCTTCCCCCCCCCCCAGCAATAAATAATCACTGGTCCCTTAACAAAAGAACCATCTTTTTCTTCTTTTGTTTAACCAGGAAAAGTCAACCTGACAGAATTCAAAAGCGTGGAACTGGAGGAAATAAGACAATACGTTGCTGGTCTTCTAAATGATTCATCGCTGAGGAGAATACCTAACAGTAGAGTTTCTTGGCTGTGGCATGATGAAGACGAACTCCTCAGATATCAACCTGACTTATTGCATGGATTCCATGAACGGTCGGCAGATATATCCTTCTTGTAGCCTCTGCAATTTCCCTCGAATAGTATTTTGTTTGAGTCAAGTCTTCAATAAAAGGACAACCAAAACGCACCCATAGCAGGAAATAGTGGATCTATTCCTGGAAATATTGACGTATAAGTAGTTACAGTAGCCTGGGGTAGAAGAATGAAACTGTCCGATGGGAAGGGGGAGGGGTTCTACAAAAGACTTTCACTAACATTGGAGAGTATAACGGGCTGTTTTTCGGACCATGGATTACAAATTACTTAACCCAAGGGGGAAAGAGAGGTAAACAGTCTATGAACCCACCTAGCCACACCCATCAAGGGTTAAAATCATAAGAGTTTCAGTCCAAGATTCTAAAGTTTTTTCGTTTTTTGATCCTCATAGATATTTTTCAGCCCAAAAAAGGTTGATTTCTTTTACTATATGCCTTTCCGTTTCAATACGCATGAGGCACACGCCTCATGATGTCGTGGCCTAGCTCTAACTCTGATTTTGAATAGTTAAAACTAATAGAGGATCCTATTTATAGATAAAACTCTTGTTATTTTAGAGGTTGTCGTTTGGTCCAACACAGGAGTATTGTTAAAAGTAAATTTCTCTTCTAGGCTTCAAGCAGTTACCAAAATACCAAAAGAAATTATCCAGGAGAGTGAACCCATGCAGGTAAGAGAGACTAAGGTTTATCCGAAAAGAAAAGAAAACCTCGACCTCTACCATAAAAAGAAAAGAAATAGGAAATAGCTAGAATACAGATATGTAACGTTGTCGTTACTTTTGTTGTTACTGCAAAAAAAGAACTCTGCGTGAGATAGACTATTACTAAGGTTTTCTCAGAACAGACAAAATAAATGAGAGATCCCATGAAAAGCATGGCGGTCAACAGTGTGATGTTTCGAATGGACCTCAATGCAGGAAGTATAAGATTAACAACGATCTGATGAACAGTTAAAAGGAGACATGTTACACGGTTGTCATCAGTGGACAACATGATGGTTTCTCTTGGACATCCCAGAGTTCCTAGCGAACATCTGGTATCAATAAATTCCGGTTTATATGAACATGACAAACAGGATGACCCAAAGTCTCAGTCCATGGCCTCCATCAAAAGTCGTCTTATACCTCAAACCAATCTAATCTTGACCTTCTATCTTCCTCAACTATTCTTTATTTCCACTCATCGCACCTCATTTTGGGTTCATTGAAGTATCTCGCAACAACCAAGTTGTAATTTTGACACCGTACAATTTACTTCAAGGTAATACAGTTTGAAGAAAACAATTACCAGTACTGCCAACAAGATAGTGAGCCTAAATTCCAAGGCGTTCCCTGCTGCTTGTACGGTGACATGAAGGAGTGTAGGATATGCAGGTATATAAAGGACAAAAAAAAAATGCATGGAGATTAAAACAATCGGGAAGTTTTCCATTCCACTTAGACTTTCTTGTCTTTGTTTTTTCTTCTTTTTTTTTTTCACGCCAAGACTTGCCTCAAAAGATAAATAGGAAGTATCGAGAGAAATAAGAACCATAAAAGGGACAGGGGGGAGTTGTGTTACAATAAGATTTACACGATTTCCCCTTAGACTCTGCTGAAATTTAGTGATGCCCCTTCGTTGGCAGTGAATAAAAAAAAGCAAACATTCATCTGAAAAAATTATTCGCCAAAGGCGAAGTGAACAATGTTCAATAATTCCCGAGACAAACTCGAGGGGATTATTCAACAAAATTCATTGAGTGTTGTCTGCTCGTCCAGGTTAGTGTAGTCCTGAAAAGGACTTGTGTCGGTAGTTGTTACTGACGTGTCGTTTAAGGATCATACTCGCAGGGATGATCTCACTACACTACCTCAATGAATAGTGTTGAATAAGTCAATAAGATAAAAAAAAAAAACTTCCTCAAAGATTCCTCTTTGTAGCGTTCTATGCCATGTTAGGCCAATCCTTTCACTCGCTAGGATCTCGTTTAGTAATAATTCTCTTTACTGTCAACCATAAAATTTTCATGATGTTAGTTTTAGAACTTGGTATCGGATCACAATAATCCCCTGCATGATTTGTTGTTATTCTCATCATTTTTCCTGCTTGATACTGTAATGATATTGTAAGGAAAAATTTTGCCTTGGTCACTCGTGGGATTTAAAGGGCTGACAGTCATTTCCCTATGTCATTTGCCTAGGTATATAACACTCGCTTATTTCCTCAACGATGTCGACGAAGGAGGAGAATTGGTGATGCCACTTGCAAATAGCGAATTTGAGGTACGTCGTTGCAGAGATATGTGAGAAGCTAATTTTGTTAGCCTGTCCCAACACTTAAATATTGGTGATAAAATACGTATAACGCAAAAATTTTAACGATGATCTTAAAAGATGCAACATTACGCAGTATGGAAATTTTTTTTTTTTTTTTTGCGCTGGATTAAGGAAGGGAAATGCGCCAGAAAACTTTTGTCGCTCATGGAGGGGAGGAAGACATATTGGAAACTTTAAGTTTGAGCCAGGAGGGAGGGTTGGGGCAGGCCATGAACGAGCGAGGGGGCAAATTAACAACTCAAGGTTCGTGACGAGGTGGGGGGGATATTAGGGTTGGTGCAGAGGGTGGGGGAGAGCCTATCAGGGGTTGCTTAGGTACTTGACGTTCTAGACAGGGAGGGCTTGTAAGAAATGAGGCTTATCAAATACTTCCAGTTCTAGACGGAGATTAAACAGAGTCTTGAGTGGGGGTGGGGAAGGGGATTATTAGGGAGTGTTGATCATCAGAAACATGAAATTATTGAAGAGACCGGGGTTCATCTGCCCATCGTCTAGTCGGGGGAAGTTCTCAGGGATGAGGGCTCAGAAGAAACTCGATTTTCTAAGCGGGGGAGAGGGGTAGGGGCTGATGAGCTTTTTTATTACACGACACGGGCAGTCAGAGGGCCAATAACTAAAATCAACCAATCAAAATGCTCTATTGCCGGTCCAATATTCTCTAAGTATTGGACCGGGCACTGTCCCGAATGGTCCCGAATGATACCACACTTGTGTCCCTTTGAACTTCAGTCGTATAATAAATCTCTTATTAACCAAGCTTGCTCGGGACCGTACTGGAAGAATATCGGCCCTCGGTCCGTACTGTCAAGACCTCAGGCCGATATTCTCCCAGTACGGCCCTCGCGCTAGGTTAATAAGATATATATAGTGACTTAGCGGTCCACCTCTATTTAGGATGACGTCATGAACAACTCTGGTAACTGGACGGGTTTTTTCACTTACGACAAGACAACCGGAAGTCGAACAACCTTTGAAGTGGATGTACAATTTAAAATGGATGGTGCTAACAAAGTTCTTTATGGAAAAGGAAGTGACGCCAGCGGTGAATTCGAATTGACTGACAGTCTGTTAACAGGAAACATCATACGATTTCGCAAGAAGTATTTGAATCAAGCAAACAAAGATTTTTCCATTAAATACGCTGGTAGATTAAAGGGAAATACACAAATAGATGGGATGTGGTGGGTTCCAGGCGGGGAAAAGATGCGTGGAAAATTTTTGATGCGCCACAAAGGATACGAGGTTTGTTTTATTTGAATTCGGTTCACAAGCGGTATTATCAGACCAAAGGCGGTTATTTCGATCAAACTTGAGTTTTTTTGTCTCCAGAGTATTTTACAATAGTGTGCCATATCGGTAGAAAGTTCAGTCTTTATCTATCGCCTGGGGGGCATTTTTACGATTCCCACTCATTGCTTTAACCCTGTGTAAGCGATGATTGATCCGTCCCTCCGTTTCTCCTGTAAACCCAAAATTCTTCAAACCCTCCCCCCTCCCAAGTGATGAATTATGAATGGTTTCTCATCGAAAAAAATGATAAAACAATTCATCAGCTACAGGATATATTTCCAAGATGGCACCATTAGTCTAATCCACCGATAAATGTATGGCAGCAAGAGAAAATGAGGACCTGTTTTTCCTCAGCAGCAACTAGTAAATGTACAGAGAACCAAATAAGTGCAAATTCAGATATTGCGAGCTGCATTTCTACGTTTAACATAAATTACCAACAAGTACTGTTTCCTTTTGGCAGAAATGGATGAGTAACTCTATGGAAAAATGCAACTCACATGAGTACTGTTCTAAAGGAAATCTGGTCATAAAACCGAAGCCAGGCAAAGCTGTCATGTGGTACAACCACGTGCTCAGTGACGATGGTACTTGGATCGGGGGACTGGATAACAGGATGTACTATGGCCACTGTGACGTCACCAAAGGCGAGAAATGGATGGCTACTAATTGGATTAACATAGATGGTGACGGGGAGATAGAGTTGAAGGCCTGGAAACGAGGTACAAACCTCATATCTGAGACTAGGAAACATGTGAACCAGAATATTCTTCAAAGAATGCGAAGAGCTGAACACAATAAAGCACCTGATGAAATTGAAGAAGAACTTAACAATGATATGGACAACAACCAAGAATGGACGTTTGAGTCTCGTCCGAAGGAAAGACACGTTCTAAATGCTGTTGAATCATTGATAGAGTCTCTGAAAGAAGACGAAATGGTAGCTGTTTCTAAAAAAGTACATGAGAAGCTACAGATGCTCTGCGTACCTTTAGTTCTAAACCAGGGGGGTAAAATTTCCTTAGTAGATGGAAGCAAGGCTGAATGAAAGAGAATACTCTCTCATTTTTAGAGAGAAATCTTACGCAAAATAATCGTACAATATTTTTTCTGGTGGATATAACTCCCTTCTCTTGAGCGCGAAAATTTTAAGCAAAGTATCATTTAAGAGAGTACTGAGCTATAATGTTTATATTGTTGTATATAGAAGTTATAACTTCGAGTTTCGTGCATGAAACGTTAGTGCGTGGTTTTTTCCTATGACAGCCACCAAACATTTCTTTCGGGATGCAGATGAACATCATGTTGTACAATGGGTTATTAGAAATTTTTTGAGAAATCCCTAATGCCTACGGATTCTAGCAGTATTTGAACGTAGAACGGTTTAGTACAATGTAGTGCGCAAGCACTGATGTAGATTGGTATGAGTTTCTTTATCAGGGGCTCTTTTGTATACGATCTGTTGTAGACATAGTGGCTGTGCTAAAACTTATTTTTCTTCATCATATTGCAAGAAACCGATTTTGAAAATGGTATACTTAGGAGCAACCCGATCTCTTAATGTTCTTTAACATTGAAAAATGGAGCAAAAGTGAACCCTCGGCTCTTTTTCTGTAGCCGAAACACATGTATTTATCTTTTTGGTGTGGGCGTGAGTATTTGAGACCATTGTAAATATTCAGCACGAGGTGTTTTTAGTAAATCGCAGCAGCCAATCATAGCTAGGGAAACATCACCAGGAACCAATGAGAACTCGAAGTGCAATCAAGCAAACTGCCTGAAGCGCAGGAAATAGCCGAGTGATAAGTCGCCATTGGTTTTGGTTTTTTTAATCTGATTGGTTGGAAGTGGCGCGAGTTTTCTGATTTACAATTGAAAATCACTCCAGTAGAATAAGCCGCATATCATCAGTTCGTACATGTACCATAGGGAATAATTCAAAATAGACCTTTTTACAGTTGCGGGCTTGTGGCCAAGCTTTTGAACAGGACTGAGGCTAAGGGTGACCTTGTTATGATAGTGATATTGCTGCTTTTCAAATGCAAATTTCTTTGTTATCATGCTAACTAGATACAGGTCTCTATCACAACAGGGTCACCCTTAGCCTCACTCCTGTTCAAAGGCTTCGCCACCTAGCCCACATCTGTAAAAGGGACTATAAGATGTACTGTAATAAAAAAAATTTGAAGCCACCAATGTGGGTCAACACTCATCATAATGACCTCTTCTAAACCGTAAGCCAAAATAATGAATGATCTAAACAAAAACGAAAATTTGAACTCCTTAGAATTTTCGAAAATGACAAAATATGCCAACTGATGTCGCGCGGAACCAGTGGGAGTTACATCAATAACCCACTCTAGAGTTTGTGAACATTGTGAATTGTCTCTACGTGCTCATATTCATCTTAACACATGAAAATCAATAGCGACTCGTCTCGCGAAGTTACTCGTCGAAACTTGATCGCATCCGAAGTTTCCCCGACTTAAGCTGCCATGACGCTGCCGCTGCATTACCTAAATTCAGTTTTGCAAAAAACACTGTATTCCAGTGTTATTGAAAATAATTTTAATTTGCATGCATGAACAAAATAAAAGTAAACTTCCAACACAAGAAAGGTGAGAAAAAACCATCCAAAACAAATTTCTACTTAATTCTCTTTACCTGCAAAATTGAAACCTTAACCTCCCCTTGAAAAATGTACCTGAGGTACCTCTTTTTAACGTATGCAGTTTCCTTCGTTTATATTGCAACTTCCAATTCTCTTGACTTTTTTGGAGGAAAATCAACGTGGTATACGAGATATCCTGTTGCTGATTTACCATGTTTGAGTTTGCGCTTGTGTTTAAGCCAGCTATCGCCGTAAAACTTAGACAAGGCTATCACTAAACATCTTCTGGATTAATTCAAGTTGAAGTATTTTCTGACTGTTATATTTCCACTAATAAGAATCGAAAATAGTTTAGTTACATTCCTAGTGTAAGTCTCACGATGTGAAACTATCTTGCTAACGATTAGACTCGATCCAGGAGTTCCCGCAAAGTTTAACGGGGAGGTTACCTAGGGCTTCCATTCCTCACATCAGTCCCCACTCGAGATAATCGGGAGAATAAGATTAGCAGTGTTAGGTACTTGTTAAATACCTGTTGAACCTGCATGAATAAATTATCAACTGAATAGATTATCTGGTTTGTAATGGTAGATGTTTTAGAGTGATTCAACTTTACTGTGATTACTTCAAATCAAAGCAAAATTTCACAAATCTCGGTTAGCTTTCATATACTATGGAGCTACATCTTCACCATGCCTTAGCCACAGTTCATATATTTATAACAGTGATTTGTAGTAAGCAATTGGTTTACTCAGATAACTTTCATAAGCAACTAAGCGAGTGTCAAGACAGCACTGCAGATTGTTCAGCAGGACATCACGAACCTCGTAATATCCACTTACGTTTACCAAGAATCAACGGAGTAAAGGTAAAATTTCATCTACTTAATTTTTACCCAAGCGAAAATCTGAAGAAGAAAATTTAGCTTGCAGAGCTGAGCTTGATTTAGCTGAGCTTGCTTGTGGCAATTTTTGAATCTCTGCTTCGCTGATCGCCTCTTCAACTAGTCTTCGTAATCATCTGATCATGGGGCTACTGGAATTTTTCTATGGCAGACTGGTTTACACATACTGGCCAGATTTTAAGGTGAACTGCGGGCAAAGGAGTAAGCAAATAGTTCTGTGTACTGTTTATCAGATGTTTATATATACCATGCTCCGCGGCCTTTAACTCGATCATTTCTAGTGGTAAGATCAGCCAGCATAGGTGGGGATGAGGATGGATTAAGGTTTAAGATATAGATAAACGTATTGTAGGCTTGAATAACGAATAGCCAAGAAAAATGAGTTCTCATTGACTCAGATATCGAGGCAATAGACAGTGCGAAAAGGGGGGGGGTCGACAGGAGACGCTGTCTTCTATTATTCGCGACATTCGCTCACGGGGGTCGACCTTCTGTGTCTCATACTATAATTAATCAATATATCGAAGGCAACGTAGGCTAAAAACCTCGCTTGGTTTTTCAATTTTTTCTCTATAGGCTTGTGAAGTGACAATGTTTATGGTGAATGCATTCAACCGTATATGCGTATATCACGCATAAGCAGTTCAATGCATAGCAAAGCCGTGTAGCATGTACATGGACTGAGAACTAAGAGTGTCTTGGCTGAACGGTCAATAAACACACTTTTGCAAAATATGCGAAATAAATGAACTGTGAAGTACCCTAGGCAGTAAAAATTACTGAAAATCTTCGAAAAAGTAAGCAGTCACTAGTTTCTGGTTCATTTTGTTGGGCAAAAAGGAAAAGTGCAGTGGTACTTTAAGAGGCTTTTTTCGAACAATTTCCATTTAAGCGGAAGAAACACTGTTCCTTTTGTCTTTGGCATTGCAACGGCTTGTAAATTTTTCAAGTTCGGTTAATCTTTTACACCATAATATCAGTATGCATATTCTCCATACTGTTTTCTATACATTTCTTAAGGTGCTGGCAAGGAGAATTTGTTCAACAATCAAGAGCTTCTTTAGTTAGTGATCATTTCCTTTATTCTCATGAGCCTAATGTGTATTTCGGGGGTGATAATGTAAGGAGAAATTATTTGCTAGTCACTCTTTGTGAGTCTAAGGGGTGAAAGCGTTAAAACAATGGATCATCGAGGATAGAGATATCCCCTCTAAACATTGCTAGCTTTAATTTTCGCTTTAATTTGAACACAACTCTAACATCACTAAAAGGCTGATCATTTTGAAAACTTTACTAATCTTAACTACATTAGGAGTGAAGACATCCGGATTTACTGCCCGGTGTCGTTTACCCTTTAGGTACTTATTTCTCCATACAGTATTAACCTTGAATCAAATATAAAGGTCATGCGAATAAAGGAAATGATCGCCAATTTCAGAAACTCATGATGTCATCAATCAAGTTCTCTCTGTCAGTGCAGTGACGTAGGAAATGTAAAGACAACATTATGGAGGATATGAATGCTAACCGCTAGGGTGTAAAGGGTTAAGGGCTTATAGTTTCTAAAGAAACAGTTTGGGGTTGCGTCGGTGGGGGTAACGAAATAATTTGAATATATCAACAAAGTTGAAATGGTAAATTGGCCACGGTTACGATTATAAAAGCTGACGTTTCGAGCGTTAGCCCTTCGTCGGAGCGAAAGGGTTAACATGTCATTCATTCATCTCGCCAGATGTTTTATCGTCGTAAGTCTATTTACGAGCCAAGTGGCCCATCACGCCGGCGCTTAACTCCTGTTTCCGCTGCATGAAGCAACTAGGAGTATTTCTTCTTCTAGCCCTTCGCTCCGACGAAGGGCTAACGCTCGAAACGTCAGATTTTATAATCGTAACGGTGGCCAATTTACCATTTCATGAAGCATGAAGCATGAAGCATGAAGCAACTAGGATTGTTTCTTCATGAAGCATGAAGCAACTAGGAGTATTTCTATTTCTAGCCCTTCGCTCCGACGAAGGGCAAACGCTCGAAACGTCAGCTTTTATAATCGTAACGGTGGCCAATTTACCATTTCAACTTTGTTGATATATTGAAAGTATTTCTACTCCCCCCTGGATGAGATGCTAGTCCATCGCAGGACTACCCCCCACCCCAGCATTATATTCATCACTACCCATTTAAACACCTGGGTGAAGAGAGGCACTGTGGGAGTAAAGTGTCTTGCCCATGGAAATAATGACTCTCACCTTTCTTACGCCACACCTTTCAATCTAGGTTGGGCATATTCAAGAAATGGAGTTAACAGAGGGTGCAAAACACACCGTGAGAACTCTAAGCTTACAGCCACCAGTGTTTGGTAAGTGATGTAAACGGTTGACGAAACTACTAAAAAAATAGTTTAGAGTTTAATACAACGGGTGCAACTTATTCTTCGACTACCACTCTTCGCTCGGGAACCTGTTCTACAAATTCGATGCCAGTATTACATTATTCCCGTCCTAGAAGGATAAACAACCGTAAGAGATGACGACTCGAAGATAATAAAATGACTCTGATGTATTGCCCTCGATTGTACTGCAACCCTATTTAATCATTAAGGATATTCAGCTCAGACTGGTACCCATTAACAGGTCACTAAGATAGTTAATAGAATTAAAGAAAAGTTGCATTTTACGTCAATGCATGCATTGACCTCCTCCCCTCACCCCTGTTGCAACAAATCAACTGCCTTAGGCAACTTGCTGGTCAATTTTTTTACGTTTAGTGCATACACTAGGGACTGGTCATAAATTTTTCTTGAGGGGGATGGAGGATTTTGGCTGTCACATCAAATTTTACCTGATACCCCCGCCTAAGGCTCTTTAATATTCTTATCCCCTGTCACTGGCAGTTCATCGGCGGTCAGTCTTCTATAGTGCCTGCACTATACTCTGTTGGCGACGACTGATCCCCTTCCGTTCCCCTTAAAAACTAGGTGACCCCCCCTCCCAAATCATCCACCCCAGCAGGCAATAAATAATGAATAGTCCCTCAATTAAGTTTCATTATAAAGAGTCATTTTCTTCAGACACTTAACTGTTTTGTACATTTTTATTGCACAGAAATTCCAAATTTTTTCACTGATGAAGAATGTGAAATGATCATTGATTTAGCCCAAGAAAAGGGAATGAGCGAAATTCCGCTGACCGAAAATAATGACAACAGTGGTAATGAAGATTTGATAGAACACAAATTTAAAGCTTGGGACAAAAATGAAGATGAATTTATCGACAAAACTGAGGTAAGAATATCTGATTATCTTTCAACCACTTTTTGGTCGTTCTCTGTTCAGTGGTGTTCTGCTAGTGCTTCCTCCTCAAACTCTAAGTCTGAATTCTAAATTTTCCGAAGATTCGACCGAATCCATCATGTTATAACTGACAGAATTATGTTTTCTTGTGTAGGCCCTTCACATACCTGAAAAAAGAAATATCTATTCAACAGAAGACGATATTCCAGAAATGTGAGTTCATTCAAATTATACCGGCTTATTGTTATGCAAGTTTAATGACCCAGTCTCGTTAAATTCGATCAACAACTCATTCTTTGCCAATACCGGCACCAAAGTGAGGCAAACCTCATCTAATGGTTAAAACACACAACAGTCTGAGACTAAAAGAAATGAATATTACTGCCCTTTTTGTTTCTATTGTTGTTGCTGTTGTTGTTGTTGCTGTTGTTGTTGTTGCTGTTGTTGTTGTTGCTGTTGTTGTTGTTGCTGTTGTTGTTGTTGCTGTTGTTGTTGCTGTTGTTGTTGTTGCTGTTGTTGTTGTTGCTGTTGTTGCAA